CTCTGTTATGTCCATGGTACTTTCCATCAGATGGGCCGTCAGCTTCTTTGCCATTCTAAGTTGTATAAAACAAAATCACATATTATAACGAAGTATTCGTACATAAAAAATACGGGGGAATTAAGAAATTCCTCCTTTTGGATGTCGCTTTAAAACGGTATCAATTTCTCGCTAGATGCGTGCCGGTAATACGAGATTATTAGAGCGGAGGGACAAGCGATGCGCGCTGAAGGAATGGTAGGCAGCTCCGCGTGCGTCACTTGTTATGCCGCTTCGATACTGCGATGCGAGTTCATTGGCTTCCGTTTGTTTTTATTTTTAATTGTATGTGATATTCATATGTTATGGTATAGTATACAAGGCGTGTCGAGTGGTCTCGGCATAGAATGGGACTTTCCCATCCCTTTATTTCTCGTGGGTGTCATGGTAAGCGACTAAGAGAACTTAAAATCTTAACTGCAGTTGTAAAACCGCCTGCCAAGCGTGGCAACTACTGTCAAAACCACCTTTATGGGGAAGGCCTATGATCAGAAAATATTATTAAAATCTTAACTGCAGTTGCCCAACCACCTGCCAAATGTAGCAACTACTACCAGAACCATGTTTATAGGGAAGGCCTATGATCAGCAGTGGACAGTTAACGGCTGACATACCCATTTTTATATACATGGGCGAAGTTGTGACAAAAACTAGTCATTCCATGTTTAGATGATTAAAAGCAGGAACCCCTACTTTTTCTTGAAGCGTACTAAATACAAAACAGGAACTATTGTCAGTGTTGCCAGGTATTTTTTTTTTCAAGTTTGAGTAAAAAATATTTTCTTTGTGTAATTTTTTTGCCACATTTGAAGTCAGATTTTTTTGTAAAACAATCCTAAATTATGATATTGTTAAACCGTATAGCAATATATAAATTCAATAGAATACACCGATGAATGTACCATCATGAAGAGTAAGAAGTAAGTTTACAACTCACTTCTTACGTTTTTTTAAGGTAGCAACATACAAATATAGTGGGTTTTTGTAGTAGATATTAATGAAATGGTAACCCTGCCTGTGCTATAGGTATGCACTGGCGGGGCACCAGTGAGGGATGACAAGTGAGGATGAAAATAGGTCAGTTGGCCCATTATGATGAATTTAACAATAAATCAATCACGATAATTTCCAGAAGGAATCGCGTGGAGGTTGATAGTGTATATTGCTAGCAATAGGATTGTTAATTCCTATTACTAACAACTCCTTCTCCCCCTTTTATATAATGGTTGCCTAGTAAAAAAAAGTAGGCAGTGAAAACCGACACAATTTTGTGACAAGATGATGAAAAGTGATCGAAATCGTATGAATATTGATTAATTTATATATTTTTTTTTGATGGGTGAAAATGGTATGGTATCCCCGCCTGCGCTAATGGGATACGCTGGCGGGGCACCAGTGAAGGGTGATTGATGAGGATGAAAACAGGCAAGTTAGCCCATCATGATGAATTCATCTGGAATTAGTGTGTGATAGTTTCCAAGGGGAACCGCGAGGAGGTCGACCTGGTTGGATATATTGCTAGCAATGCAATTCTGTCTCCATCACTAACAATACCTTTCCCCCCTAATCCATTTATATTTGTATAAAAAATGGAAAATCGAAATATGGCAACCCTGACCTTTGTATTCGTATAAACGAAACAGGAATGCGAACTCGGCAGCATTATGCAGGGTGGTGGGGAAAATGCCCCGTTTGTATGTAAGGACACACAGAAATATGCGTTCGCATAATGGAAGAATCAGAGCTATAAGGCCTGAAAGGATGACGGCACTTACTCGTTTAATTAGAGAAACGCTTTGTGGAAATTAGATAGAAGAAATAAAATTGTTCCCTTTAATGTATACTAAATGACATCGAAGTATTTATTGTTTGCAAATTAGAAGCTACATTATCAATGAATAACATAATCTGTATATTACTTAAAAAAGAATAGATTGCAATAAAGTAACCCAGAGTATCAATTTTTTGCCCATCAAAGCATGAATACATCATATCAGCTATATTGCTGAACATAGGCCTCCCACATAAAGGGGGTTTTGTCAGTAGTTGTCGCATTTGGCAGACGAATTGGCAACCGCTATTAGCCTTTTGTTAAGTTTTAAGAGAGTCGTTACTGCCCATCACTCGACCATTAAATAATACCATTAAAGTTTCATTTAATCGGAAGTTTGAATGAAAGTGACAAAACAGTATAATTAAAATAGGTTTGTAGGAAATTTTAGTTTTTTTTTTTTTTAATAAAGAAGTGAAAGTTAACATTCAGAAGAAAGTCGATTAAAACATAATGTCTTACGGTTGGTAGCAGTGTGCCGTTTTATTATGCGTCACCGCAAGTCATGCTTTCGAATCACCGCATGTCAATGCTGCCAACTGAATTTGAATTGAGTGCCTAAATACAATTTCCAGATCACATATTGCGGCAACCGTCACGAAGGGAACGTGTGTGGACACGTCCACTTGCGAATGTTGCCAGGTATGCGTCAATTTAAATAAAAAAAAATGTTGGTATAAAATCTATGCAACTATATTATTTTTAAAGATCATGTTTATTTTTATTCAATATCTATATAAATACGGGAGATTAATGAACTGTGTTTTTTTGTTCCGACATTTGTTTCGACTTCATCTGGAAGTCTTCTTTAGGGAGCGTTTAGCGCTTTGCGTCAGCGTCTATGCAACCAATTCTATAAATTTGAAAATTTTACTCTAATATATTTATATCAGCCAAAGGTTTATTTATAATACACATCCATATTGATATTCTTTTTGAACAGAATTCGTCTGATTCAATTCGCCTAATTTTCTGTGCAACTATTTTAGACGAGTACGTCTCCAATTTACAACGAACCGATTTTCTCTATTCATTTGTAATTAATAGGCTTTACAAATAGTGTTGCCAAACAAAAAAAAATACATACCAAGATTGTTTGCTGTGTTAAATGCAGAAAAACAGGTATCTACAAAGTCTTACCGGAGGATCTTTGTACAAAATTTATCAGCTTGTGTCTGCACCTCTGTCCTGCTTATGTGTCTGAGGTTAAGCAGCACTATGTACGTCGTCATCATCATATCAGACATTAACTGTCCACTGTTGAACATAGGTGTCACCTGGTGCGGCCAGTATTTGCCACCCTTAGCAGGCGGATTGCCAATCGCAGTTAGGCAGAGTGATGTTTTAAGAGAGATGCGTCTGTCCATCCCTCGAAGTTTAAACTACTTTAATCACCTCTTACAACACCCACGAGAAAAAGGGGATGACCTATTCTATGCGGGGACCACGCAACAACTATGTACTATGTACATACACGACTGTATTTTTTTTGATGGGTGAAAATGGTATGACAACCCCACCTGCGCTAACGGAATACGCTGGCGGAGCACCAGTGAAGGGTGATCGATGAGAATGAAAACAGGCCAGTTAGCCCATCATGATGAATTTATCAGGAATTAACCATGATCGACCTGAGGAATTAAACATGGTTGGGTATATTGCCAGCAGTGGGATTCTCAGTCTCCATTACTAACAATCCCTTTCCCCCCAAAGTTACACGGCTATATTCATATTATCAGTTTAAAGGGTGGGATCGTCATCATTATATTAGCTTTTAACTGTCCACTGCTGAAGATAAGCCTCTCCCTTGGGGGGGTTTGCCCGTAATTGCTACGCTTGCCAGGCGTATTGGCAACCGCAAATAGGCTTTAGAGATGTTCTAAGAAATATACTGCTGCCCAACCCTCCCTTAGTCGGGGGGAAAGAGATTGTTAGTAATGGAGACTGTGAATCCCATAGCTAACAATATACCCAACCAGGTCGACCTCCTCGCGGTTCCACCTGGAAACTATCAAGATTAATTCGTGATGAATTCATTATGATGGGCTAACTGGCCTGTTTTCATTCTCATCGATCACCTTTCACTGGTGCTCCGCCAGCGTATCCCGTTAGCGCAGGCGATTACCATTCCATTTTCACCCATCAAAAAAATATACCCTCCCTTAGTCACCTCTTTCGACACCCACGGGAAAGGAAGGAGTGGCTTATTCTATGCCGGGACCACACGGAAATGCGTGGGATATCTCTGGGAAATTACGGTATAGATCATTATGGTTCTTGACTAGGACCACCGACCTGCTTTCATCCTCATACACTACATATACTTTCTGTTTTTACCCAATGGTTAACTGGTAGAGAATGCCATATGGCATTAAGCTCGCCATTTGTACAAAAAAATATTGTGCAATAAAGAATAAATAAATAAATAAATATACATATATACCTTTCACTGGTGCCTCGCCAGCTTGTCTTTAGCGTAGATTACCATACCGTTATTCCTTAAAATAATTACGTTCCGAAACCACAATATTTTGGTAATGGCAACTCATATTTATAGGCGACGGTAACCACTTGTTTACCACTGTAAGTTGTAATAAAAAACAACCTTCAAGCAATATAATTAGGTTCTTAATTTAAATATTGAGATAATAATAGCGCAAGCTAATTCATTACACATCGAGTTGACATTTAAGAAATAGCTATTTTGATGTAAAAGTCCGCTTGGAAAGGACTTTTTAAATTATCTACGTAGTTGAAATGAAGGCCTCATTCGTTAGCTTTGAGTTCGGTATATTTTTAAGCTTTGACATAATATTAGAGACGCGAAACGCGCGCCGAAATAAAAAAATAAATTGCGGCTTCTCGGTGTGGGTGCATTGGTTTTAAAAGAAAAAAATAAATAAAAAATAAAAAGTAATCCGCAGCCTCTGACGACGGTTGCTATTGCGGATCACTGAGTTGGCGATCGCATTACTAACGGTAGCGGAAATAAACGAAATAGTTCTAATCATTTAATCAATCAATCACTCAACCAATCAACCAATCAATCAATCAATCACTCAGTTACTCAATCAACTAACTTTAATTATAACACACGTATCCATATAAAAGGTACAAACTGTATACTCGCCTTTTATAGCGTTGTGATTGTGGTAACAAACTTGTAGACTCTCTGGTTCTGAAACAATAGAAACAAGACGTTTATGATAAGCATCTTAAATAAAAAAAAATATATAAACATGCTAATAAAAAAAAAGATGTCTACTCTATGCCGTGTAGTCCCGCCATATAATAGGCTACCCCCTCCTTTTGGGAGGAGAAGGCATTGTTAGTGAAGAGGACTACCAGTCCCATTGCTAACAATATACCCTGTCAGGTCGACTTCCACGTGGTCCCACTGGAAACCATCGTGTCAAATTCCAGGAATATTTATCGCGGTGGGCTAACTGACCTGCTTTTTCATTCTCACCTATTATTGCTCGATCAGGTCGACCTCCACATAGTTCCCTCTGGAAACCATTGTGAACAATTCTTGTTGAATTCGTCGCGATGGACTAACTGACCTGCTTCATCCTCACCTATCACCTGGTGCCCAGCCGGTGTATACCGATAGCGCGGGTGGGGTTACCATTCCATTATCATCCATAAAAAAAGGCTCCAATGAAAGATGATAGATGAATATGGAAGCAGATCAGTTGGCCCATGATGATTTATTTACCGGGCATCAACCACGATAGTTTACTGGTACAAAACAATTTAGAAATAAGCATTAATTTTATAAAACCTCAACACAATTTTGTATAAAACACGAACAAATCCTTTGAACCGAAAATAAACCATAACATTAAACAAACAACCTCCTTGTATATATTGGAAATTATAATTAATACTCATCCCATTAATAATTGAAGCGGTTCATATAATTAACGTAGAATTTGTGTGTATACTTTCCTAATATGTATACGGTATACTAGCATTTGCTCGCGACTTTGAACGCGTGCATTTAATTTGTTTTTTATACTACTATGGTAGACATCTTTATCCCTTTCAGACCTGAACGATACGGGCGTGAGTTGTAACTTTAAAAAATTCTAAAACCGCGCGCAATTCATTTCAACATGATAGTGTGATTCTAAACCAGCCAATGGGGGGAAAGGGATTGTTAGCAATAGTGTTTGACAGCCCCATTGCTAGCAATATACCCTATTAGGTCGACCTCCACGTGGTTCCCCCTGGAAACCATTGTGAATAATTCTAGTGGAATTCGTCACGATGGGCTAACTGACCTGCTTCATCTTCACCTATTATCCTTCACTGGTGCCCCGCCGGTGTATACCGATAGCGCGGGTGGGGTTACCATTACATTATCACCCACTAAAATAAAAATAAAACAGTCAATAAGAAATCATTTTAGCGGTTAGGTGGTGCAGTAGTCTCGTGCGTGCCGGCAAGATGGCTTGGCTCCAAAATACGAAAATACATTTAATCTGAAAGAAAAAGTATCTTGGGTCTGAAAGGGTTATAGCAGTCTCTGGGGAAGGCCTATGTCCAACAGTGGATGTATAATGGCTAAAATGAGGATGGTGATGATAGTGGCAAACAAGCATGCGGCCTGTCTAATGGTAAACGGAGTTGCCGCAGCATATTGATACCTGTAACAGTAGGCATGTCACGCGCGTTACTGACCCTTAAGAGACATTAATACGCCCTTTTTTAAGAACCCCAAGCTGTAGTCACTAAAGAAAGGATCAGCAGGTAGATCATTCCACAACCTGAATGTTCGTGGGAGGAAGCTCCTCTGAAACCGCACTGTACGTGACCATTCTAGTTGTAAGGTATGAGGATAGATTCCCTGCTGATGGCGAGCGGTACGATGGTAAAAGTTGGTGAAATATGTCGCGGAAAAGGGAACACTTTTAGATAGCATAAAACATAAGATAAAACATTCATCAAATTTCAAGTTAGCTTCTTTTTTTATACAACTTAGAATGGCAAACAAACTGACGGCCTACCTGATGGAAAGTGGTAACCATCGCCTATAAACATGAGCAGTACCAGAACAGAGTATACAGTTTCGCCCATGATACCCTCCATGCGTTGCCATTCCTGAGGACTCGGGTGTTATTCCTCTGTACCCAGTAAATTCACGCCATATCCCACCTTTCAAACCGAAACACAGCCATGCAAACACAACTGCTTCACGGTTGAAACACGAATGGGACAGAGGTACCCAAGCAATCGAGTTTCATATAATCGAAATTAACACAGAAGCTAGCTAGAGTTAGCAACAACTTTAATACTCTTTCTAGAGCTCATAATATCGATCTATTTTCGAAAATAACAGCGAGAGACCAACTGAGTAAGCAATTTTTTGATTCATAGTCAATTTGAATAACTGTCGTATGGATATGAAGGCCATATTTTTTCATTCCTCTTGTTCGTTCGAATTTTTTATTTGTTAACTCCTATTTTTGTTGATTTTTTTTATACCACTGAGGTGGCAAACAAGCATACGGGCCACCTGATGGTAAACGGTTACCGTAACCTATGAACGCCTGCAATAGCGGAGGTATTACGCGCGCGTTGCCGACCCTGAAGAAACCTCTTTACCCCCCTTTTGAAGAACCCCATGTTGTAGTCTCTTGGGAAAACCTCGGCAGGGAGCTCATTCCATGACCTTTGTGTACAGCGCCTTTTATCTATACTGTTGCTACTTGTGAAAACCTATTAGTGGCTTAGTTTGTATCTTAAACTGTACCTATTTGCTCTAGTGTAGCCCTGGTTTTTTCTGTGAATAAATAAATAAATAAAACGACATTAAATTATGGGTATATCTCATACTATTGAATTACTCTATCTATTGATGTAACTCCATGTAAACCGCATTAAAATCCGTCGTGTAGTTTCAAAGATCTAAGCGTACAGACAGCGGGGGGAAAGGGATTGTTAGTAATGGGGTCAAATAGCCCTATTACTAGCAATATACCCTGTCAGATCGACCTCTACGTGGTTCCCCCTGGAAACCATCGTGACTAATTCTAGTTTAATTTGTCAGGATGGGCTAACTGACCTACTTTCATCTTCATCTGTCATCTCACACTGGTGCCCCGCCAGTGTATACCGATAGCGCAGGCGGGGTTACCATACCATTATTACCCATTAAAAAAAAAGCGTACAGACAGCGGGAAGGGACATTGTTTTATACTACATATGTAGAGACGTACATATATAAATTATTATTTCAATATGGAATTGAGATAAGTATCTACGGGTAATTATTACGAAGCAACGTATTTCCGCACGAGTAGACACATGTTTATTGTATCTACCATTAAACAAAATATACATTACATTATTTGGGGAAACAGCAAAATTCCAATAACCAACGATCGGGGGAAGGGTGTTTTTAGGAATGGGGACACCAGTCCCCATTGCTGAGAATGTACACTGGGTAGATATCCACGCGGTACTTTAAGATACTATCGCGATTTGTTTCTAATGAACTCGCTGATTGACACAACTGGCCCGACTTCATACTCATTGTTCATCCTCCACTGGTGCTTCGTCATTGTATACCAGTAACATAGAGTCCCATTGTTAGCAATATGTCAGGCCGATCTGCTCGTAGTCCTCTCGGGAAACCATCATGCTTAATTCCAGGTGAATTCAGGACGAAAAGATAACTGGCCTTTTTTTTAATCCTCACCCACCATCCCTCACTGGTGTTCTGTCAGGGCATACCAATACCACAAGTTGGGTTCATTATTATCATATCAGCCGTTAACTATCCACTGCTGAACACATGCATCCCCATCCCATAAGGAGTTTTGCCAGTAATTGTCACGCTTAGCAAAAATATTTATCCGTGCGAAGCCGGGACGGGCCACTAGTTAAGTATAATGCAATTGAAGCTGCCATTTTCCGTTGCCGAGCAAAATACTAACTTGTTGCGCTATTCCACGTTCTAAATTCAAATATTTTCGTAATATGTCCACGAAATATCTCATCGTTCATCCGAGTATTTTATTCGATTATTTGAAAAAGGAGCATGGTACATTCCTTTTTCAAATAATGTTCTTTAACATCAAAATATTTATTAGGCACATTCTTTTCATTCATAAACGAAAAAATGAAAACGGAATGAGATGACGCAGTTTATTACTTTCACAAGCTTTTATTTGTTCTTGTAATGTGTTTGTTCACCATACACATGTCTGTCTAGGTCAAATCTTGCAAGATGAATTAGAAAAAGAACCTCCCCGTCGATTTTGTGGTGTAATTTTGTATACATTTTTAGTAATTGTTACAATACAATATGCAGTACTCAATATTGTAATATATTTTCAAAATGGCCGTCGCCGCAAGATGGCGGACGAACCCTTTTAATGTGGATATTAAATGAAACAGCTTGAAGATTAGGTAACGATAAAATAAATGCCATCATTTTAAGACTTGCAGCCACAAAATGGCGGATTACTATATATTTATCTTAGATTATATAGATAGAGTGTCTCCATACAAATTCTTCGAGAAAAGTGCGTGATAGTACAAATTTACGTCATAAATAGTTATGAGTGTTTCCATTATAACTTCTATATTTATTTTGTTTTATAATATTTACATCTTTTTAATACGTCAATACTCAATTTATTTATTCAATAATTAAAAATAGATATGTCAAGGTGTGGTCGTAAGTATATGGAACATGGATAAAAAAGAGTCAGCTAATTTGACAATTAGCGGACATGAAGTTAAGCCGTTTTTGAGAATCGATGTTCTATCTATATAAGCTAAGATGTTTATGTAACTTTTTTTATATACAACTTAGAATGGCAAACAAGCTTACGGCCCACCTGATCGAAAATGGTAACCGTCGCCTATAGACATGAGCAGTGCCATGGACATAACAGAGTATACTGTTTCGCCCATGATACCCCCCATGCGTTGCCATTCCTGAGGACTCAGGTGTTATTACTCTGTACCCTGTAAATTCACGCCAATTCACTTCAAACCGAAACACAGCCATGCAAACACAACTGCTTCACGGTAGAAACACGAATGGGACAGAGGTACTCAAGCAAACGACTTTTGTACTTTGTTTTTGTACAGATATTTTTTCACTTAAATAAAATCTATTAAGTAATATCTCAAGTCTTTTGAAGCTTACTGTCCTATTTA